GGAACAACCTTGGTACTAAATCTGTACCTCACCTGTAATTAAGAAGAGGTACAGGATACAGGTGTGTCTCTACCTTACGTGTAATTTCTATCACATATAATATTTCTTTCTCTTTAGTTTCCTCTCTTTCTCACACACACCCCTCTCTCTCACTCTCTCTCTCCCTCCCTCCTTCTCCTTTCCCCATCCTCACCCCCCCATCTCTCACCCCCCTTCCAACTACCAAGACACCTACTTCCCCTCACCTCACTGAAACAAAAGAACCTCGCACCCTATCTCACTTACCTAATGGAGTAAGGAGCAAGCAGCTGGCCGTAAAAGGAACAATAAATACACTCACTGGCAACTCATCACCCCAGGAGTACACACAGAGGTATTTTTCGTGTGGGTATTTGTGGGTATTTTATTGATTTTTCGTGTGGGTATTTGTGGGTATTTTATTGATTTTTCGTGTGGGTATTTGTGGGTATTTTATTATTATATTTGTATGGGTATTCTGGGTATTTTATTTATATAGGAGATAATAAAGTCTGTTTATATAGGCCTATAGAAATTGTTTTATATAAATTTGTATAGTTTTATATCATTGAAGTTATTACAGAAAAGTTTACTAGGCGTTATATAGGGAATTAAAAATTTATATAGTTTATATACCTGTGAAAAAAAAACAATTTATATATCGTTATTTAGTTGATAGTAGTAAAAATTTATGTAGAATTATATATCTGGCTCTACAAAATTATATGCTCTTATATCTGACTTAAAAAAAATAGTTTATATATGTATTACTGAGTTGGCACGTGTACCCAGTCAGCTGTCGGCTTCCGGAGGAGACGAGAACAGTTAGATGAGAGAGAGAGAGAGAGAGAGAGAGAGAGAGAGAGAGAGAAATTAATATCCTCCATTTTATTTTAGTCTTTCACTAATCCTCTTCCTTCCCTCCCTCCTTCCTTCCTTCATTCCTTCCTTCCTCTCAAGATATCTTTATGTGTTTTATTTTCTTTGTTATTTTTCGTTTCTTCTGTTTTTATTCCTGTGTTTTATCTCCCGTTTGTCTTTTGTTTTCTCTTCTCATCTCCAGGATAGGTCAGAGATAACACTCGGGCAGCGTATATAGCTGGTGTTTAGTCTTTCTTTCTCTCTTTATTTCTTTCTTTCTTTCATCACTTTCTTCCTTCTCTCCCTCCCTCCCTCCCTCCCCCCAGCCCATCAGTAAGTGGGTTGCCCTCTTACCGAGAATACGAAAGTCCTTGTATACATGACCCCTGGCTGTCTGTCTGTCTGTCTGTCCGTCTGTCTCGTTCCTGTGTGTGTGTGTGTGTGTGTGTGTGTGTGTGTGTGTGTGTGTGTGTGTGTGTGTGTGTGTGTGTGTGTGTGTGTGTTGGTCGATATGATGTTATCCCAAAAATGATGCTTTTCATCACAGTGAGTGGACCAGTACAACCTCCTTCCCTCCTCCTCCTCCCTCCCTCCCCCTCCCTCCCTCCCTCCCTCCCTCCCTCTCCCTCCCTCCATCTTGTCTTCTATCCCTCCTTCCCTTCCCTCCCTCTCCGTTATTTTTATATCCGTCTCTCCTCCCACACTCTCTTTCTTTGCTATTTCCTCCCTCCCTCCCTCCCTCCTCCCCCCTCCCTCCCTCTCCTCCCTCTCTCTCCTCTCTCCTCCTTCCTCACTTTCTTTCATCGTCCAGCACAGTAGAGATATCTCCCAAGAGTCTCTCATTCTCTCTCTCTCTTCTCTCCTTTTCTTCTCAATGGTTCTCGCTATCTGTCATATCTTTCTCTCTCTTCCGTCTCTTCTGTTTCTTCTTATACGTCTGTCTGTCTGTCTGTCTGTCTGTCTGTCTGTCTGTCTGTCTGTCTGTCTGTTTCCTTAGCTATGTCTCTTTCTGTTTCACTTTACTCGTCTGTCTTTTGTCTTAATATATCTCTCTCTTTCTATGTCTCAGTCTCTCTGCGTCTGTCTCTCTTTCTGTATCTATATATCTACTCTCTCTCTCTCCCAAGACTCATCTCTCAGGAGGCTGCCCCCCCCCCCAGGACGGGCAAGATCCAGAAGTATTCTATGTTGTTTCACGTAAATATAACTCACTGAAGGATCCTCTGGCTCGGCCCGGCCCCCCCCGACCCCCCGACCCGACCGACCCGGCCCCGACCACGCAACCACAAGCCACAGGGAGTTGGTTTGCGTTGAAATATGCGTTTTGTGTTTGTGTGTCTGTGTGGGGGGGGGTAGGTGGGTGTGTGTGTGTTTGTGTATTGTTTGTCGTTGTATTTGTCTGTTTGTTTATCTTGTCTGTCTGTTTGTCTGTTTTATTATTATTTCATGTCTACGTATTTTATATGAGTAAATACACAATATATTCACATCAACTTATAGACACAGACACACACACACAGACACACACACACACAGACACACACACACACACACAGACACATACACACACACTCTCTCTCTCTCTCTCATCATAAACCAGTCAACACATCACAACGAAGTT